TTCATGGATGAGCTAATGATTTATTAACGTAGTAGAATGAAGCAGGGTGAGGCTGAAAGCCGTCGAAGCGAAACGAGGCCGCTGAATGAACGTGACGCACGGCTCGAAAGCAGCGGAGCTTTTATTATGCCACAGTCGACCGCTTCCGCTCCTTCCGGTATGTAGGAAAAAAAACAGCGCTGTTTTATCATACTAGAAACATTTGAAAGTTCTGTTATAATGCTACTCTGTGCGGTCGTCACCAGTCTATTAAAATGCACAACATATTAAAGCGTCTTTGGTGTTTCCATGTTTTCTACAAAACAAAACCGGAAATCGAGGGGTTATGACGTCATTGGCAGGCTACACAATGACACTATAGACACGGTCCGTGTCACTTGTTAAAATTGCTTATTTCTCTGGATTTAAACATTCTTCGAAACATTTGGGATAATGTAAGTACACAAGTCAGCAAAATATATAACACTGTTCTAGTGGTTTTTGGATATTTTAATAAAAAAATCTTACATATTGTGCCTTTAAATCCCTCTAGACAAGGTGACTGACAAGAGAACCTCAATGCTAAAAACAAAATTTTAAAATGTTTTAATATGAGCATAACTAATATAAGTTTACATAAAATTTGACGTCAAATGTACTCTCACCCTCCACATAAGGAGTTGGGTCTCCAATTTTTCCTGCCATCTGGTCAGCAGACTTGATCACCTCCATGTCCAGTATAACTACCACACGTCTGTGTACAACATCAAACACAAAAGCTTGATAAGATGCATTAATAAACAATGTTATTGTTAAAAAGTTTGAGGTCAGTAAGATCTTTTTTTTTTTTTAAAGAAATGAATACTTTAAAGTAGGGATGCACCATTAGGATTTTTTTTGGCCAATACCGATTTTAACGAACAACTATTGGCCGATTCCGGTCAATTGCATAAAGCAGGGCTTAAAAACGAGAAAAAAAAAGATTGGTTCACTCCGAGCAGAATCGGTATTTGAACGTTTCTGTTCCTGCATTCCTCTGTGATTTGAGTAGAAAACATACCGGTTAATAGGCCTAACATTATTTTTTTTAAGTTTTTCTTTGCCAATAATAATAATAATAATAATAATAATATAAAGTACAGCGTTTAATTTACTCAAAAAGAAAAAAAAATAATGAAGAGTCTTGAATGATCTCTTAGTCATAGCCAATACAGCATCATCTTTTCTAGATTTACCAAAGACCAAATGTATTAAACAAAAGAAAAAACTGTCAACTCAATAAACATTAAATAATTGTTTTCAAGATATTTAAAAATGTTTTAGCATGGATAAAAAACGCTACTCCTATAAGCGTTTTGAGAGGAAAAAAAACAGCCTAAATTAGTAGGCTGTACGTTGCATTTTATTATTACATTCAGAAATGTAGGCTAAAATAATGGTAAATAAAAGCAAAATTACAAACAATTAGGCTATTTTAGTTCCCTTCTCTCCACAACAAATCCTCTAAAGTTGAATTTAGGCTAAATATAAGCGTCAAGCCAAAACAAATTAATCTAAAAACGAAACTGAAGCCTACCTCGCTCATTCTGCACGAATCCAAATGTTTCCATATTCGCGAAGTATCTGGATGCTAACCTATTATTTATTATGTAAACTATAGGCTTTGTTCTTCACTTGCATTATCGACGTAAAACATCATCCTTCACATATAGACTATAACAGCACAGTGGTTATGCTGAATGCCATAGACTGTACTACGGACTATTTAAATTGAGCAGTGTAACTTTTTATGTTTCTTTAACTGTATTTTATTTTGATAATGAACAGGCTGCAATGTCAAATTAGCAAAAATGTGTTATGTGCGTGTGAGGCACCGACGCAATCACTGCATTGTTTTCCCAACTGTTACGCAGTAATTTATGGTCATACCAATGCTGGTTTGTCACACAGATAGAAGCAAAACATCATTCAAAAGTGTAAAGCTTTTGCAAAATGAAGAAAACTGCTTTCTGCCATCTCGTTTTATTCCCGTGAACTTCGGAGTGCGAAACAATTATCCGAAACACAGCACATTTTTTTTTTTCCGTTTTGTTAATCTGTTAATGATTTAAGTGAAATATATTTTGTGTATAGGCCTATATATTACCTTTTATGTAGGCCTATATAGCTTTATTCTGTTTTCTCCGTTCACAGAAAAGCTGCAGGTGCATGATGTGACCTTGTGTCAATCCGTGTTCTACACTGGTTTCAAACAAAAAGCTGCATATTACCTGCCATTCCGTTTCACTTAAATGTAGGCCTAATGCTTGGCGGTTCGTGACATTCCTCGGATAAACTCTAACACCGGTGCATTGCCATTGTGACTTACCTATGATGAATTTACAGCTGAGCTCTGGCTCTTTTCATGCTCTTTCCGATATGCCGATGGCTTTAAAATAATCAAAAATCGGCCGATACATCGGTACATCCCTACTTAATGTATTTTTTTATTAAATAAATGCAAACTTGGTGAGTATAAGAGGCTTCTTACAAAACCCTTTTTTTTTTAATCAAAGTGTATATATATCGCAGAGCCACAACATTTATTAAACATCCTAATAATAACAACTGTGAAAATCAGATCAAGACCTGGAGACGAATGCTTACCGTCCATCTTTGAGAACATTAGCGACGCTTCTTTTCAGCATACACACACAGTTAGTGGCCAACTGGTTTTGCTCAGCCATGGGATTAAGCTGTGTGGAGAGCATGAATGCTGGATGCAAGGGGGAAAATGGACAAAAACTATTAAAGAATACATGGTGTCAGGTTATTTGCATTTTTATAGAATAGCTGGGGTATGCATCCCAATGATGATTATATCTTAAGATTATATCTTAATGGCTAATGAACACAAGCATCACTCACTCCTAACTTTAAAGAAACTCCTTGTCCAAATTATCCCAATATTGGCTATAAACACATAAGCACCTGACATGGACATTTATGTGTACCTAACAAAAATATTGCAGAAAAATATATGGCTTTGGTTTGTATGACTATCCAAACATAAAGCCCCACATGTGAACTCAAGTAACAGCTGTTTTGCAAAACACTAACAAAACAAGTCTAAAACAACATCCTGGACATGGGAGATTCGAATCAATTCAAAGGACAGACATCAAATTGAATTAAAGGCATCTGAAAACTGATCAAACTTACAGGACATAGTGTGCAGCCCATCACTCATCATGACACGGAAACGGGACAGGCCATTTCCCCCATCAATCTTGCGAATGTTCTGGAAAGAATATTCAACAGAATAAAGTTGACTAGCATGAAAATAAATGGTCTGGTGCTTTAACTAAACAAAGAAACTAAAGCATAAACAAAAGTGTAAGTAAGCAAACTAAAAATTAACCAATTACGAACAAAAATTACTGATATGATCAATGTTTTGATTCTCATTCTAATACACCTACAGTTTCACTTTAGGTCTTTTAAAATGTTACAAATAATGGCCTTCAAACATAAATGTAACTAACATTTTATTCCCCTCAAAAATCACAACATCCGATTATGGCATTAATGTCTGCAATATCTGCATTGACATCACCATCCCTATTATATAAATGTGGAAACAAAATCATTTTTTGCAAGAAATCTGACACTTACCACACACTGCAGAACAGGGTTGCTGACTTCAATTCCTTTTGTCAGGGACTGAAAAGAAAAAGTACACAATCACTTAAGAATGCAAAAGCTTTCAAGCATTACCATAGAAACCAGATCAACAATATTAGCAAATTCAGATACTTGCCTTATTTCACCCACATTCAAAACACGAGGAAGGGGAAAAAAAGACATGATCCACTTTCCATGTACAGCAACTCTGACTTTCTTATATGATCTACTCATCTTAATATTCTAATGTATAAACTCTTCAAAATAGGTAATGCATGTATACATTGAGCGGACAATATAAACAATCTTTGCATTTATGCTGTTATGTGTTAGCACGTAACATTTTATTCATTCCTTTTAATCTCGTCACATTTAAAACATGCAATCATTGGGAAAATAACTTCATGAAACATTAAAGGCAACGATAACGATTTGATATTGTTTTACTGTTATAGTGCGAAACCGCAGGATGAAAACTTGCTGGCTAACGCACTTAGCGAGCTTATGTTTGCAAAGGATGAAATAACGCTGCTGCCTTATTCATTCTTACCTCAATTGCCCCTTCTGACAATCGAACAGTCATATTTTCACAAAAATATTGCGAACCGAAGATTAAACCTTAATTCTTAATAAAACCTTGTTGTTACATAAACAACAACCGCCTCTGGTGTTCAGCACTCTCCAGTCTCCTCGCGCCAACTCAGTCCAAACGCGCGAAAGTGCGACACACGATGACGCGTTTCCCCCCCGTTACAAACAACTTCCGCTGAACTTCAAAATAAAAATGACACTAGGCGAGCTTTTTTTTTTTTAAACCAAACTAGTATTATTCCAGCTGTGATACAGCGTTTGATACAGTTTTTTGTTTTTGTTTGCATGTTGGAGACCACTTAATCTGGCCCATGTTTTTTTCTATTTAAACTTTTTTCAACAAGTTTTTCATTTCATACACCTTAGTTTTCTGTTAATGTACTCAAGGTTTTGTGTTCCGTCATGATATAAAAAAAATATTTTTCAAGAAAAGATTATTTATTTGAAAAAAGTAATAATCTGAAGTACGTTTGTAAAACCACAAAGTGTTGAGGAAGTGATTTCTCTGTTAGTAGTGCTGCGGATTGTTATGTAGGATCTGAAAGAAGGCAGCATTTCACTAAATTAAATAACTTATGAGACACTTGGAATTTCTGGTCAAATTTCTTTAATTAAAAAACAAATAAACAAATCATGTCTTTTTAACAAATATTAGGATATTTAAAACAACATTAATTTACATAGGGGGTGTCATTTCAAATTATCTGCTAGAATTAACTTATAGAAGTTCTTAATGTTCTTAATTTGCTTCTCAGTGAGGACCAACTAAGCAGTCAACAATCACTTATGGACTCATTCTGCTAAATGTATGAAAACAATCTACTTTGGAGGAACATCAAAAGAGTGTGGCTTGTCATTAATTTTATCTGAATTGCCAGGATTTGTGACCACAGTAGATGCTCCAGGGTTTGGGTTGGAAATTACTCCCAAAAAGAATGGCGTTTGACTTAAGTCATCCATTAGGGCAAAGAAAAATGGCTGGTTGACGGTAAATGAAGGGTTGGAGCGTGAGATGACCACACTTGTTGCTGCCACTGCCTCTGCCCCTTCTTCATTTATCTCAATACTGGACATATGCTGTACACTGGACACAAACAAGGGGCCCTCAGAGATGCGGTCCAGCTTTGGGTGACTAAATAGCATTCCTAGACCTGGATTGGAGTAGAATTATATATTTGTTCATATAAATAAGTAATTAAGAAATATTAAGAAGATTTTGAACCCAAGGTGATTCTAATGACTAATGAGTCATGAATTAGATGCAAGACATCTTACCCATGTTTGTCATGGCTTCTTGGAGGTCCTGGTTGAAGTCAAGCTTGAATTTTGGGAGTTTGACCTGCATGTTTCTTTCTCGTGGTAATCGACGGTAAAGATCTGAGATATTGAGCTTAGCTGCAACGGCTGATACATTCACATGTCCACATGTTGGCATTATTACTAGTAGACTCTTGTCACCTTTAAAGGGGAATCGAGCAACCTATAAAGATCAAATAGTGAGGAATAGAGATCAACAGTGATGAATAGAGATTTAATCAGTGCTATTTATAAAATAGCATCTTAAAGGCAGTAACCTGGGCATCCAGCTCATGGTGGGTGAAAACGCTGAGAGGATACTTTGGCCCAAGCATCATATCCACATTAACAATCTGGTTTTCATCTATGTAGAAGAGCTCAGTGGAGGTGAAATGAGGGTCAAAGCGAGTGAGCCACTCTCCTGTGAGAGAGAAAATTAAACTTGTATAATTAAACTTGTGTGGTCCTTTATTGATTTACACTTGTGAAATAACAAGAGAACGATAATGCAACAGATCTGAGTAATACAAAACCTCTGATGTGACTCACTGATGTACAAGAGGAAATTGTAAAATGCTTGCTGGAAATAGGTGTTTGTTCTGACCTTTGTAGTGCATAGCATTGATGAGCATCATAACGGCGCTGAGAGGCAGGCTGGACAAAAACTCTGAGATGTGCCCATTTGTGACTTTCTTAACCCATTCATTGATATCATTAACATCAGTCAAAGTGGCCGGCTCGGAGTCATACAGTTTCTGAGAGTCTTCCACAAAGTCCTTCTTCACTTTAAATCCTAAGGAAAAAAAGAAAACTGTTCATAGCTTTGCATAGTACAGTGATAAATTGTCCCTCAAATATCAAAGCAAATATCAACCAGAAATCAAATTTCCAATCCAATTTAAATATATATATTTTTTTTTTTTTTACTTACTGACCATATACAGTGACCACAAAAATGTATTTGGAGACTTTTAACACATTTAAAAAGGGTATTCATATAATTTTTTTTTTTACTTACTGGCCATATACAGTGACCACAAAAATGTATTTGGAGACTTTTAACACATTTAAAAAGGGTATTCATATATTTGCAATATTTAAAAAATGTAAAACCTAAAATTATAAATAAATGTAAAATATGTTATATCATTTAAAATAATTAGAGCGAGAGATGGATACTTTCTGGATGTCAATCATTTGTGGAACATATCCAGGAATTTCATGATTTTATGTGACCTAATGCTTTTTGAGGCCACTGTATCAACCTGCATGACAATATATCTGTTTTGTGGTATACGTGTGACTCTCACCAGTTTTCATATAGATGCGGCTGGCGATGGACAGGCTCCTTTTGCGGAAGTTGCGCAGGAGGCTGCTGAGGGCAGTGTGGTAGCAGGGCAGTGCGTCTGCATGCAGGTGGTGTAGAAGCAGCTCTTCTGTCTCATTAGTTGCTCCTAAGATTCAGATAAACAACGTCTTATTGAGATATATATATTGGCACTAAATTTGCAAAAATAAATGGATGCAAAAAAGAAATTGAATATGAACTGAATGGAAACCAAAGCATTTGTTAGTCTTTTGTTTTTCATTGTAGATTATAGACTCACCTAGCGCTAGCTGCGAGAGTGCTACAGACAAGCTAAGGGGGGAAATGATGACATTGGGCTGCTCTGGACTAGGCTTCAAGGTTTCCAGGAACCAAAGGCCAAGCTTCAGAATGCCGTTGCCAATGGTCTGCTTAATCTGTTGGCTGGTCATGTCCCCATCACAGAGTGAATCAAGGTCCTCCTCAGAGGATCCTTCTTTCTGACCAGGAGAAGGAACCGGGGCTGAAGGATCTGTTTCCAGGCCATCTGGAGAAACTGTGAGTGCTTCTGTTATGGTGGGGTCAAGAGTGCTCTTCAAATCCTGAAAGGGACAAGGCGATTGGAGTGTCAAAAGTCTAAACGTGTATACCTTCAAAATTGTAACATTGTGGGTTCTTACTGATATGGGTTTACTAGGCATCAGTGGGATGAGAGGAATTAAAGGATCCGCTCCATCCTCTGGTTCAATCGCATCCTCCTGCAGTGACAAGGTGCAATTTATGGCATTTCAATAGTAGAATAAAATCAATAATTAAAATATAGAATAAACAACATAAGATCAGTTGAGTGCTTTACCGTCCAGCCTTGCTTGGCGTAACAAAGGAGGAATGCCAGAAAACACAATTTCATGTTCTAGAAGTTAGTCTAAAAACCAATGAACAGCACAATTTATTCAGAATTTGGTATGATTTGGCATTGGTCATTTGTACAAAGGCACTCTT